AATAGAGGTACACTCTTTCAGATTCTGATTTTCTTGGTCCAAGCCGGTTTTTCCTGCCAAAAAATACCGTCTCTCAAATATAATCATGTCAGTTAAGAAGTTCATTTTTCAAATATTTATATTTTTGTCATTTTCTATATTTAAAATCAATGTTTTCTTATTAGCACAATGTGAGGCTACATATGTTTCATCATGTGTTAAAACACTAACTTATACGCGTACATTAACACTGACGCTGAAACAAGTTTTGCCACTTCTTCTGTTCCCGGGAGTAATTTACTTAATATTTGTTATTCTCTTTTCTATTTTTTATTTTTGTTTTTATTCACTCCAACATGGATTTGTTCGTTTAAGGTCAATAATCGCTACTCTTACCTTACCGTAATTTACCATTATTAAAAATTTGTAAAAAGTGTTATTACATTAATATTTAACACGAGAGGCATGTGCAACATTTAATGAATGCCAAGCACTTAAAGAACAAGTGTTTGTTTCGTTATTCTAATTCGTGTTATTACATTGGGTAGGGTAGCGGGAGCGTTCAACAAGGTTACAACCTAACATGAACTTTCTATGAGGGGCTATGCCATTTTGAGTGGGCTAACATAAACGTGTGTAGCATAAAGAGATATTTGTTTTCGGATAAGCAAGATTTTCGTGGAAAAAGCATGTTTAAATAATCTCTTAATAATGTATACTTAATAAAGTTATTTTTATTTCATGTTATTTTCGTTTAATAGACTTACCTATCTGTTGCAATTGCCACTAAATGGAGTATAGATGCTGTACAGCATAGGACATCACAGGAAGTCCAAATATCACATAATTCTGGACCCAATATCCAGCCTTCGCTTATCTAAATTACAAGAGGAGAAGAAAAATACACGATTAATGAATAAATATCCTAGAAATATTGTAGGGTTTGAAAAAAAATATATAATCCGCAAATTAATAATTTATATCCTCATCAAAATGTGATATGATATGTGCAAATGGTCCACCAATACCCAAAAACTTTCTGATTGATGCGGAATTTTGGACAATGTACTAAATAAATCATTAATTGTCTTGTATTGATATGGGTAAAAATCGGATAAGATTTATGTATAGCTTTCATATAATTTTGGGCGATTTAAAAGTCTCCATTCTTTTGGATTGAAATGAAAATGTTCATAGTGTTCCATAGTGTTTGAGCCACGTATTTAGTTCTATTTTCACGTTTTTAACACGGGATCAAACCATGAGGTTTTCACAGCTCTAGAGTTGTGTCGTTCCGGAACGAACTAGTTCAAAGGAACTATTCCGATCCAGGAACGATCGGAACTAGGTCCAGATCTTTCGTTCACCTAGTTCCTTTTGCTCCAGTCGTTCCTTCTTGCTCTCGTTCACATAGTTCCTTTTGCTCCATCGTTCCTTCTTGCTCTCTTTTGCTCCGTTGTTAATTTTGCTCCCTTGTTAATTTCGTTCCACTATCTCATATATAGCATTTCCACATTAAATGAAACCTTTTACAAATTAAATGAACCCTTTTCCAAATTAAATGAACCCTTTTCCAAATTAAATGAAACCTTTTCCAAATTAAATGAAACCTTTTCCACTTGAAATGAAACCTTTTACAAATAGAATGAAACCTTTTACAATTGAAATGAAACCTTTTACAAATAGAATGAAACTTTTTCCAAATTAAATGAAACCTTTATTCTTATCTAAGGAAATATAATATTTTCACTAATTTTAAACCAATATTTGAAAATTAAATCAAAGAATATTAACAAATATAGTTGTATGGCTATGTAATTAACATAAATATTATTTAATTCGGTGTGATTTCATTTAATATCTTAACATAAAACTAAATAAATAGTAATACAAACTGGGGTATTTCTTGACATTTTAATAAATAAATATTTAAGAACAAGAATTGAATACCCGGTCCTAAATGCGAAATACATATTTGACTTAATAAATTGTTGATGATAAGGTAACTGCTTATCTTAATGAAGGGGTTCCCGACTTGCAGCTTGTGGGATTTTCAAAACCATGTCCATAACGTAGTTAGAACAATCTTGCCGAGTAAGCTTTTGAATACTTCGCTCGATTACATCAACAATGTTATGTTCCATTGAAACGTCACACAGCTCAGCTCTTGCACATAATTTTATTTTTGAAAATGCATTTTCGATTGGATTTAGCATTGGAGAATAAGGCGGTAAGAATTTAAGGTTGCATCTTTTGGATTCGATCAAATTTTTTATGTCATGTCGCTTGTGTATTTGAGCGTTATTTTCCAACTCTGGATTGATTTTCTCAAAGAAAATTTCTATAAATAATTTAAATCTATCTGCATTGACACTGGAATTAGAAACGATTGTGTGATGTACAACTCCCGCGTTGTTTATTGCTGCAATTATAGTGACATTACGACACAATGTGTGCTCTTGTTCCTTGTCTTGAACGGGCTTGGGTTCTTCGTATGTGAAGATTAAATCCACACTCATCAATGAATATTAATTTTTCTCCTTGTTGGGTTATCCATTTTGTAAAGTCTTGAGCATATTATATATCATTTTATTATTTATATCATTTTATCTCAACAGTTTAGCTTTTATGGCTTTGAGGGTAATTCCAGATTTAAATTACAGACAGATTTAAATTATTTATAGATTTTTTTTTTTGAGAAAATCAATCCAGAGTTGGAAAATAACGCTCAAATACACAAGCGACATGGCGATAAAAAATTTGATCGAATCCAAAAGATGCAACCTTAAATTCTTACCGCCTTATTCTCCAATGCTAAATCCAATCGAAAATGCATTTTCAAAAATAAAATTATGTGCAAGAGCTGAGCTGTGTGACGTTTCAATGGAACATAACATTGTTGATGTAATCGAGCGAAGTATTCAAAAGCTTACTCGGCAAGATTGTTCTAACTACGTTATGGACATGGTTTTGAAAATCCCACAAGCTGCAAGTCGGGAACCCCTTCATTAAGATAAGCAGTTATCTTATCATCAACAATTTATTAAGTCAAATATGTATTTAGCATTTAGGACCGGGTATTCAATTCTTGTTCTTAAATATTTATTTATTAAAATGTCAAGAAATACCCCAGTTTGTATTACTATTTATTTAGTTTTATGTTAAGATATTAAATGAAATCACACCGAATTAAATAATATTTATGTTAATTACATAGCCATACAACTATATTTGTTAATATTCTTTGATTTAATTTTCAAATATTGGTTTAAAATTAGTGCAAATATTATATTTCCTTAGATAAGAATAAAGGTTTCATTTAATTTGGAAAAAGTTTCATTCTATTTGTAAAAGGTTTCATTTCAATTGGAAAAGGTTTCATTCTATTTGTAAAAGGTTTCATTTCAAGTGGAAAAGGTTTCATTTAATTTGGAAAAGGTTTCATTTAATTTGGAAAAGGTTTCATTTAATTTGGAAAAGGGTTCATTTAATTTGGAAAAGGGTTCATTTAATTTGTAAAAGGTTTCATTTAATGTGGAAATGCTATATGTGAATCAGTTAATGTAACATTAGCTGTCTCTTTCATTATTGATGAATGAAATATTCCGTGTAATAATTAAACGATTGGTACGCCATTTGTATGAAATTTGAATCAGTCGAATTCGGATAAGCGAACACCGGTTTATCGAAAAAATCGGTTAATTGAAAAAATTATAAACTAATATTTCGGATGAATTTTCAAACATTTTATTTCGCTTAATTGAAAATCCGTATAAGAGAAAGTCTTTTTCGTTGGAAAAACACAAAACTATATGGAACGAGCACCGTTTAAGAGAAAAATTGGCATTTTTTTAACAGCGACGAAGGCTGTTATTAAATTTTTATATGTGCAATTTCTAAAATGAATGTGCACATTTTTCCAACCAACATAATGTAAACAGAAAAGTAAGTTCTTACTCAATCCATTTACTGATTTATTAATTTCTCGTTTTTTTCATATATTGATTGAAGATTTCGTTTAAGCGCAACGAGTTTCGATTATCCGAAGTCCCTTTAATTGAAAATTCTGCACAAGAGAAAAAAATTACTGAAATTACGCGTTTTCGCTTAACCGAATTCGACTGTATACATATAACAGCTATATTTACATCAATCGTGATTTAAATCAATCGTGACACACGTTATTCTAGCCGCAATATAAATTACTAGAATATATTTCAAAAATAAAAGCATGAACGATAGTATTGACCGAACGAACTGTCGTGAACATTGGATGAGTCAACTAAAAGGAACTATGCACCTAAAGGAACGGAGCGGACAGAAAAAGATCGAACCGCTCAAGGAACTAGATTGACCAACTCTACACAGCACTTCTGGTGAAGACAATCATCGATTACGCATTTCTTCTTAATGGGTGCCAGTCAGGACTACAACAACCCGTGGACCGATATACCCCATTTGCAATACCAAACATGGTGGAGGGTATAACCAGTGAGCGGAGCAGTTCAGTCGGACGGGATGGCCTTATAATACTTTACACAAATACCACATGAAAGTAACATTCTGAGGATCTAAATTACGAACCTAGGCAATATTTCGCGATATTTGCACCCATTCCACCGATTTAAAACCGGCATATCGACTTTCTTCCGCTGATATGCCATGTGATTAAAACTTTGGCATTATACACACAAGAGTCTTGGTTGATTCCACAAGCTGAATGTTGACCGACCAATATGAGAAGAGGAATTCTAATTAGTTGTCCGGATCCCCTTTCCCGCGTAACATAAGCGATGTTCAGCTGATAATTGTGGTGTCTGGGACGACTATAAAACTAGTATAATAAGGAAAGTAGTAAACATAGTAGTAACAATAAGGAAAGTAGTAAAGTCGGGATCGGCCGACTATATGATACTGTTCCTAGCATCCTTACAGAGTCGCTTTTTTGAAGGACTTTCGACATGAAATTGAACTAGATTAAATATGAGATCTGTATTTATATGTGAACCGACTAACATCAATCCATAAACACGCCTTTCTGTAACCTATGCCAAATTTCATTCGGGCAGATTTAGAGTCGTATGCGTACAATGGAACATATTTATGTAAACCGATTTATAGCACACGCTATTCGGTATGCCTCACTGTTACAATCAGACACCCGTTCGAATTATTATATGGAAGCTATGTCTGCTCTGCATCAATGAAAAAACGCAATAACGTCCTTATAATCTCAATTTGATTTCGTGTCAATTGGACAAACATTAGGAGTTTGGTGCAGCCTTAACCTAAAATCGAACGAAAACATACGTGTGCCAGTTATACCTAAATCTGAACGAATTTTAACGGAACTTGCCAGAGATTTATTTCAGCACCTGGTACAAAATTGTGCCAATCGGACAAAGTTCTTTTACATAAAATCGGAAGAAAATATATAGGTATATCGAAATCTAAACCGATTTTCAGGAAAGTTAACACACATCATTCTAGACTTAAGTTGGTAAGCTATACCAAATTTCGTCAAATCGAAAGATATATAAGGACTGTGGTGCACCATTTACATTTAATCGGACGAAAATATATATGGTGGCTATATCTAAATCTGAACAGATCTTCCCAATTTCAATAGGGTTCGTCATTGGACCAAATAAATGAGCTGTGCCAAATTTCGTCCAATGCGGATCATAAATGCGACTTGAATTTGTTTATAATTTAAAATGGACAGATAGACAGACGGACGGACATACATAAATCGACTCAGAAAGTGATTCTATGCATATTCTCAAAATGAACCATGCACATAGACATAATAAACTGTACCACAGTGTTGTGAAGGGTATAAACAGCTCGCATGTGCAATACGTGCTTAGCACGGATGACACGAACTAAAAAAGCTGTAGTCATAATGTCACTATTTTTTTAGCAGTAGATGTGTAAAGCTAATGCTAATATTTTTGATGCTGTATTTTATACCCTGTATAATACCCTTACAACACAGAGAGTAGGATATAAGATCATAGAAAAATATTTTATATATATTTTATTTACGTTTACTTTTGAAAGCACAAAGTGTATTGTATAGTATTGTATAGTACTCTGATCAATTTCTTTTGTAATATAAACTTTTTGTCATTTTAGTGATAAGACTATGAATGATTTTTAAATATCTACTTGCAAATATTGTTTAATATTTATAGGTCTGCACCCCGCGAAAGTATTTCGAATAATAGTTATTATAATACAGGTTTATTGTCTTTCAAAATCGAATCTATAATAAAACTATTTATTGTCTCTTTAAGTTCACCTATACGAAGGGTTAGTAGTATATATCCTTCGTTTTATATGCCTCATAATTAATAATAATAATTATATACCTGATGCATAAATCCTACTTCTCAAAATACAAATTTCTTTACATTTTATCGATTCTAAGTTGCAAGTGTGGCGATGCACGAATCACATACAAATATTCAACACCACCACCCTGCTCCTTATTACTCAATTCATCAAAATATTTACTTGTTTCGTTTATGTTTCCCCTACTAGTGCATAATGAGCATTGTTATAATGTAATTAAATTAGTATTTAATTATTTTGAGATTACTTACCTCATAAACAGCTCCCAATGGCATTACTAGACATGCAACAAATAAATCAGCCACCGCCAATGAAACAACCAAATAATTAGCCACATTCTGCAAGTTGCGCTCCAGTATTATTGCGGCAATTACAAAAACGTTTCCTAGTATGAAAACAATATCGTCGTCGTGGTTGTTGTTTGTTGTTGTTATTATTCGACAATTGAGAGAACGAGTCCATTTATTTATTTATTTTGCATTGGTGTTGCAGATGACGTTCGTCGCCATGTGTTTGTTGTGTGAACGTTCATGAATTGGTCCGTTTTTTTTTGCAGTGTTAAAAATTGTTGCATGCCCCACAATTGTTTATGGATTTTTCATGGAAAAATTGTACGGCATCATAAACAGACAAACATAACAAAAGACCAGTGGCAAGCATGTGGCATAACGAAGAGAAAAGTGAGAAAAAAAGAAAACGAACAAACGATAACAATCATCAGTATTTTACACATATTTATGAAATATCAAAAGCAAGATAAACAGTAAAAATATATCTGTGCTATATGTTTGTATGTATGCACGTATATTTCATGAGTATGTTTTTATGTATATTTTATTGTTCTGCTGTTGTAGGTCGAGCCTTTATTCAATATGAGCCATTATTCACTTTATTGGTCCATAATAAGTTTTTTGAAATGCCATAAAACCCCATTTGAAATACAATGCTATTTTAATTGAATACAATACATAATGAAATAATAATAAATCGAAAAGAAATTTGTTTGTAGATATTCTGAGTTTTTTCCCTTAAATACAATTTAATTGAAATGAAAAAAAAGGACCGACGAAAGAGAACAATGTAGGCCCTTGTAAAAGAACTTTCCAAATTATCTCATTCGTTCGATCTTTAAATTACTGGGTCATGGACTCAGCTATTGTTCTGTTATTGTTCCGTCTGCTGAAATGACGGTATTTAACATAGACCTTTGGAATTTTGCACATACATTGCTACGAACTACTTCTTGGATGGTTGGTATTGAAATTGAGAAGTATCGGTCACACATACTCCCAAATATTCGCTATTTGAGACTTTTGTGCACGGCTTTTACACACGCAGTAAATCTTTCTACTAAAATTATCAATATTGGTCCAATTTTTCGGGTATATCACAAATTGGCTTAGTCATAAATCTACATCACAAAGTTTGGGATTTTGGGCACATGTTTAAACCAAAAGGCCTATAGTTGTATATTTTGGATATTTTGTATCATAATCAAAAATTATTAAAGTGGACGTTTTGGGAACATTTTTATTAACTCCGTCTGATGAAATCTCGAGCTCTGAAATTTGGCACAGAATTTGCTAGTCCTCATTGGATGTTTGGTATTTCAAATGACATATATCGCGGTCCACGTTTTGGTGCAACGCCCGTATAACGGTACCTCCCAATATTTGGTATTTTGGGGATTTTTGACACGTTTTCCAACCGAGTTGGCTGTAATTTTGCATTACGGATTCTTATGGTGGATCACATCTTCCTATTGAAAATTATTAATAATGACCCAAATTTCAGGGTAACGGTACCCCCAACGGTACCCCTAACATTCGGTATTTTATTTTCCATCCGAATTGGCTGTTATTTGGCACAACAATTGTTAATATTGACTTAAGTTACAGGGTAGCCCCCATATAACGGTACCCCCCATTTTTTGTATTTTGGGAATTTTGGACAGGTTTTCCAACCGAATTGGCTGCAATTTAGTAATTTTGGTCCCTATTGTATAGCACATTTCCATACTAAAAATTTTTAATATTCACCCAAGTCGTTATTCTGAGGATTTTTGGACACGTTTCGCAAGAATTGGCTGCAACTTGATATATTTTGTATTTTACTTGGCTGTCAAAACTCACTACCAAAATATATCAGTACTGATCTTTCGTTTTAGTATAGCCCCATATAACGGTAGTCCCACTAGATATTTTGATAATTTCAATCATATTTAAATTACGTATTTTTCATTAATCTCATGGGGTATAAAACATCGGATTTAATCGTTTAACCTAATTTATTCCTATATGTTTTTTTTAGATTTTTAATATCGGTTTATGTTTTGGTATAATGGTACCGACTATTATCCGTAATTTTATAGCATTTTTCCTACCTATGTGACTGCCATTGATAGCATACCTATACACAGAAGATTGTCAGACAAAAGTTTTTGCAGTATACCCTACAGGGTATTGTGTCTTTGAGCATATGTTTGTAAAAGGTAAAATGAATCGAGATAGATCCATGGTTCCTTTTGAGGAAATCCATAGAATCACTTTCTGAGTCGACGGACGAACGGACGGATGGACAGACGGACATCAGTCTTTTCGTCCGCCCATGTATATTTGTGAGCAAAGTACGTCCTATTTTATATAAACCCCCACTATTGGTCAAATTACGAAAAAATATTGCGCAGCGTACTAAATTAGGTCCATATTGATGTATGCGAAGTTTTGTTGAAATCGATTCAAATTTAGATATAGATCCGATATGGTTTCGGAGTCTATGTTTGTTCTATATTAACGAAATTTAGCAGCGGATATGGAATTTAGGCTAGAATGATTTTTATTAAGTTTGAAATTGTTTCAGATTTGAGTTTGAAATTGTTTCCCATTTGTATAAAATGGGACTTAAGTATATATGTGAGCTAAATGGAACAGGTAGATCATGTTCTATTTTCACGATATTTTGTTGTTGAAATCGGTTTAGATGTATATATAGCTCCCATATATATTTTTTCCGATTTTATGCAAATGTACATGTGGACGAGCCTATGTTTGTTCGCTTTACATGAAATATGGCATTGCGTAATGAATTAAAGTCGTTTTATGTTTAGATATAGCTCCCATATATATTTTCGTTCGATTTTATCTAAATAGTGTACCAAATAAGTAAAATTTGTCCGATTAGGACGAACTAGTGCACAACGTACCAACTGGAAACTTTTCAATATCGCACTGAGCTGCAGCATACCAAATGTTGGATACAACGGTAGCTCATATATGTCCATTTATATATAGCCCTCATACATATTTTGCTCGATTTCAACAGATAATTGATATTCAATTTTACACAAATTTCAGGTTGGTATGTGTATGCGTTGTTTTTAGTTCAAATATCTATTTACTTCACAGCTTTAATTTCTTCCGAAGTTTTTTGCGAATGTTTTCCTGTTTATTTTCGATATGCTTAAGTTCCTACTTCAGTTTTCCAACCTTATTGTTTTGGACATTATTTTGTCAGCACATGAACTACCTACTGTGTATAAAATAATGTAAAAAAGATAGTCTCCGCAGAGGGTCCAATTTATGGAAAGAAATCAAAATATGCCAACTGGTTTATCTATCTATATATAAAATATATATTATAATATATATAAAATAGAATTATAATATATAATATATGTATATAAAATAGAAAATAATTTGTTTGTTTGTATGTTACCGATAGACGCCAAAACCGCTGAACAGATCTTAATGAGATTTACACTGTATGTCGGGGCATTCCCTGAAAGTAACATATGCTATATAAACTTTTAAAATTCCGCGTGGATGCGGATTTATAGCATCAATAGTAAACATACCTCAAAATTTCTGAACGTGTAATATGCGTTTATCTTAAGAACGGTTACAGATACCGTTTTCAAAATTAGCCGGAATGACAAAGGTGTGAATATACACTATCCATACAAAAATGAGCATGGTACGATCAACGGAAATGCACTTTTTAGTGCATTTTAAAAATCTGCATATTGAAAGTTTAAAATATTTTGTTTGTAGACTCTAAAAATGCTGAAAAGATTTTATTGAGATTTTCACAGAACGTCATAACATGCCCTGGGAATAATATATGCTATATAAACTTCTAAGATTTCCCGAAGATGCGGTGTTATAGCATCGAACGTGATCATACTTCAAAAATTATTATCGTGTAATTTGTGTATATCTTAAGTACGGTTATAGATACCGTCTTCAAACTATTGCTGAGTAACGTGAGTTTAAATACGCATCATCCACACAACATGACCGCGGACAAGGGAAAATGCACACCTCATTGCAATTAAACCTATACGTAGAAAAATAAAAATAAAAAATACGTGGGCTGAAAAACCACTAAACAGATTTTACTAAAATGTTCATAGTAAGTCAAGCGTTCCCATGGAAGCATCAAAAGTATTCATACATCTTAAAGAGTGTACATACATATGTAGAACATTTTCTATGGGTATATCTTAGGTTAGTGGCTTGAAAATATGGTTGAGTAACATGGATACAAATACTCATCATCCGATGAGTATTTGTATCCATGTGTAAAATTAAAAAAAAATGGTTGACATTATAATTTTCCATTTTTGTCAGTTTTTGAAAACAAATTAATTTTGAACAAAATCAAACAAAATGTTGTTTGGATTTCAAAAAAAAAAAAAAAAAAAAAAAACGTTGAAGTGAGTAGTGTGCATTTTAATTATAAATCGTTTTATCATCTGGAAAAATTCAGAGACTGGGATACAATAAATTCAGATAAACCACTATTTTTTTTAAAAAAATACCATTTTGAGGAGGAGGATGCTAGGATAAGATGCTTACTAATTGATGATATCTAAATTTTAATTTGATAACTTCAGCAGGGGCAGCGAAGCGCCACGGGTCCCGCTAGTGTTTTATATATCATTTTAGGTTTATTGATGGATATAATACCAATATAATGGTACCATTATTTTCCAAATTTTGAAGATTTTAGAATGGTAAATGGTGATCATGGATTTAAAATCTGCTTGGAAAAATTTGAGTACAAATCAAAATGTTTGTACACCTTCTTTTTGGAATTTACAGTTCATAGAGATGTGAAAGAGATGTTTTCTTTTATTTGTGATGTACGGAAAACATATTGAAAACGAAGTCATTATGTTATATACGCCACATAATTAACTTGTAATACTTAAGCATTTATAAGAACACTTCTACACATGTAATCCGCATTGACTTTCATATGAATTCAGTCAGCAACACCCTTCACTTGCAATGCTAAAATAAGACAAAAAGAAAGGCAAACAAAGAGTTATTTCCGTCATTATGGCATCTCTTTGAATGCCAAGACACAAAAAAGACAGTGCCACAGTAAATTGGTAGCAATATCAGCTGTTACAAGAGAAGCAATAAAAACAAACACAAAAAATCCCCATTTTTCACATTCATGTTTTAAAAATTTCAAGTGTTTCACCCTCTACAAAAAAATAGAGAACATGCACACACACACACACACACATAGCACTTATTTATCATCGCCACCTTCTGGTTGTGCTGCAGTAATTTTTAGTATTTCTTTACGGTTTGTTTGTTTTACAAAAACTGCTGTTGCCGTTTGTTTTTTGCTGCATTCGTCTTTGTTCCTTTACCCAGTCTCTTTACTTATTTTTTTCCTGCTTGTTTTCTTTGACATTATACCCTTTAAGTGCATCCTTACTTATAGGGATCTGGCGTGCAGGCGTCTAAGTGTACCAGGTCTTAACGAAACGAAAATGGAATAGGCAACGTTGTGTGTGTGTGTGTGTGTGTGTAAGTGAGAGTGTGATTGTTCTGTCGCTATGGCACTTTTGTTGGCAAAATGTAGTGGATAGATGACACAAATGAACTGCAGTAGGAAATCGTTTAGTAATTTACCAAATGATGTACCGACCGAACTACCGACATCAATGTTTGTTTTTTCCGTTTGTTTTCAACCTCCTCAATTACCGATTGTAACAGAAACGGCACTTGTTGACATTTAATATGTGATTTATCCGGTTTTCCGTTCCTTTGATTAGTCGTTGGGGCGTATGATGTACCGGATCCCTGTCACTTTATGTACGTAAGGCGACAAAAGGAAAATAACAATCGATTGAAATATTTATGATGCTAGTTGTGTTAATCAAACACAGAAATCTTAATGGGTTATTCTGTTTGTGATTGGGATATCCATTTGAATCCAAATTTGTTGTATGGCCTCATTATATCCTTATATAAGAAAAAAATATGTCAGATATTGGGCGTCGACAGGGGTATGACAGATAAAGAGTTATATCGGTCGTGATTCCAAAAAAATGGTACTAGAAACCGATATCTGCCAAACCGAAAATCCTTAGCACTGTTCAACAAATTCTTTTTTACCGATTTTAGGTAAATGGTGCACCAAAGTCCCTGCTAATCTTTTGATTGGCATGAATTTTGGTAAAGCGTACTAAATTAGATCTAGAATGATGTGTTTCGTGAAAATCGGTTGAGATTTAGATATAGCTTCAATACATAGTTTCGTCCGATTTTAGGTAAATGGTGCACCAAAGCCTCTGAAAATCATTCGATTTGCATGAATTTTGGCATAGCGTATTGATTTAAGTCTGGATTTCAAGTAAATAATGCAATAAAGATCCACAGCTAGGCCGATTGACACAACGTATTGAAATTAGTATAAATTAATCTCTGGCAAGTTTGCTTCAAGTTGGTTCAGATATAGATATCTCGTAGCTTCCATATATAATTTCGACTTATTTATTGAGATTAAATTTTAAACAGTGCAGCATACCGAATAGCGTGTGTAAAGTTTGCTTTAAATCGATTTACACAAACCTTCCCACTGTGCGCAAACAACTCTAAACTTGCCCAAATGAAATGAAATTTAGCACAGGTTTAAAAAAGATATAAAAAACACATATTTAAATTCGTTCAATTTCAAGTCAAAATTCCTTCAAAAAGGCGACGTCTTTTCGAATACATATGTACCCAAAGTGGTGAAGGGTATCATATAGTCGGCCCAGTCCGACTTTACTACTTTCCTTACTGTTTTTTTATATATTTTTAAACATCTTAAATTTTGAATAGGACAAAACGTTGCCAATAGTTCTTGTTGTAACAGTTACAGAATAGATTGAAGTGACTGACGATTGCAGAGTAGGACTCGGTCTTTTCGGATCATATTTTAGGATGGCTATGAGAAAAAGTGAGCATTTATCTTTCTGCCATCATTAATTGCTAAGATTTGAACAAATGTTGATAAGACATCGAAGTGACTTAAAAATGTCACTCAAAGATATAGATATGAATGAAAATTTCAAAGGCAAAACAAGTTTGAAAGTTAATATCATCCATGTCTTAACCTGTAAGACAGAAACACGATTTTCTTCTCGAACACTAATAACAACCTTACAATTACCTGATGTTTGAGGCACAGTTATGAATGAAAATTTTAACAATATGTGGGCCTAAACTTAGAATAGTTTTGCAATAAATTTTCTAATTATAGAATCATATTCCTAAAACAATATCTACTTCCTTCAAACAAATTACTCTCCCAACGCACTCAAATGTTTCCACCAATTTAATTTCAGTATTCAAATAGAATTTTATTGTTAAATATTGCTGTAATTAAATAATTGCCTGGGAACAAAAATGCCCAAATATCAATTATTGATTATAAAAACACCTGTATAATTAAATCTTAAATACAGTTGACTTCACTTCACTTAACTTGTATTGTATTGTTTAATATGCCCTTAAGAATTGTTGTTGTTTTTTATTAGACCATCTCACATGAAAATATAATTAAAGGTATATATACTATACAATGATATATGAACGTGTGACGTCATATATGAAATGTATATGTGTATGTTCGTGACAACTTCTCTCCCTTGATAATAGAGTTAACAAAGTTACGAGTTATAATAAATATTTATTATCAATGAGAAAATGAGTTCAATTCAATTACCGCCATTGATATACTCTGTTATTTAGGTATGTGTGTTGACATACCATATGGGGTTTTTAACTCAATCCTAATTATAGGTGAGAGTATGTCAATGGGTCGCATGTGTATTACATTACCTGTTTAGATGTGCTAACATATAGAATTGTATGCTATGTAAATTGACAGTTATAATGTGACAAATAAAATTTGGTAGGCTGACTTAAGAAGATAATTAGTAATATACATAATACATTAATAGAAAGGATAATTAAAAGGTGTCTAGGAAAACATGTTGAATAAAATAGCTACACGTGTTGGTAGGGTCACGATATTCAATTTCAATTCCTCCTGCTATGGTATGCACAGTTCGCAGATGATATATATATGGATACGTTTGGGTCTCAACATATTTGTTGTCGTCGCTTCATTATTTTTTCTAAAGAATGGGCTGAAATATAGATTTCCCAGAGGATTGGAAGGTTTTAACGATGTCCCATGAAGGAGGTATAAACAGTTCTGCTGTTCAAAATACGGAATAAATGTGGATGCCGTGCAATTTTGCAATACCAGTACCATCGTAGACCGATATATTTTGCAAAACCAAACTCCCTAGAAAGGCCATACTACCTCATCTAGTTCTGATCAAGGACGTATATGAGCAATATTGCCAATTTTTCATTCATTCTTTTATAATTCTGTCATTATTAAATTATTTCAGATAAATTGATTAGTTTTGAATTTATTGATCTGTCATTGCAAACTTTTCATGATATTCACCTCCAATGTTAATTTTCGTGGAAGTTGTGTACATCCAGTAAGGAAAGTTCAAAAGTCGGACGGGCCCTACCATATAATACCCTTCACCACTTTGGAAACATACCAGAAATGCTAATATAGGCAATATTATGTACATAGAACAGACATATAATCTTTAGAGGACCATTGAAATGAAAGTGGGCGAAAGTAAATGTGTGATCTACATAGATATATGAACCAACTAAAATATATACCATTCTGAAATCTATGAAAAATTGCATGTCAATCGGATTATATGGTGTACCATTTGTATGAAATCGAGACAAAATAACATTTGTACATCTGGACCTAATTGAGCAACCGTGGCATATACAATTTGGTATGCTGCAGCACAGTGCGCTGTTCAGAATTTTATCTCGAGTATATGGAACAGACGTAGTCTCCTCGGTGCCCCATTTACATAAGAACAGACGAAAATATATATGGGAGATATAACTAAATCTAAACCGATTTTTGCAACTTTAATACACATCACTCTAAACTCACATCTGCCATATTTCATGTAAATCGAATAAACATAGGATCTTCGGTGCACCAGTTTCGAAACTATATATGGGAGCCATATTTTTTACAAGACTGTTTTCTCGAAATCAGGCCTGTATTTGGTGTGTACGCATACATTTGGCAGCTAATTTTTGAAGGACTTTTGTTAGTTGGGAACATGTAATTAATTATTGTTTTTGACCATCTGCATGGATATATTATCAGTTTGACGGCTTTTGTTAGTGGACTTCCTTCTAGATGGGCCATTGTTGCTGTATACTTATTAACTATGTATATGTAATATTGAACTTCTGGGCACATTATATTCTTCGGACATCTCTATATAATCGCTAACAATGAGTTTTTCTTTTTTTCCTCTTCTTTGTTTTCGAAAAATTTATTTATTTTTTTTTATTTAATTCAAACTCATACAAATTCAAGGGTGTCCCTTTAATATTTCAAATGAAATATTGAAGGGACACTCTTGAAAATAATAATGGTTGAAAATAATCAAATTTCATAGGTAATTTTAGTTCGAAGTTAATAATGCTAGACCAGAAGTATGTACTCCTTCCAATCACGTTGACATTTTTGGATTCGTGTTCGTCGAAAATCATTCCCATGAAGGACCTCTTTTAAGCACAAAAAACACCAACAACAAAATTATGGCAATTAATGTTCTTATCCTTTACGTCTTCAAACAACAAATATACAAATTTACAAGTCTTCGAAATGATACACGTTCATTTGCCACCCGGTTGAAAATCATCAAAATTTGAAATAGTGAAGGCAGTTGGCCCCTTAATTTCCAAAAATATTATAAAGTAATCATTAAAAATTTGTGATTTGATAAGAGTATTTGAAAAGTTCTTAATTGTCTATTATTTTCTATTATTCCACACTTTCAAATTTAATTTACATACGTAAATATCTATCTATCCATCTCTCTCTATTATTAAATACATACCAATTATAGTGATAAGTATCATTAGACCCAGAACAATAGACATGCTTATCATTTTCAACAGCACCACAACGTCCTCGGGCATTGGCAGGCCAACACTGGCATTACCATTTATGGCCGACACATCATTAGGACTGCTAATTGTGATGGTGCCACTGTCATTGTTGCTGTCGTTCCTGCCAAAGACTGTTCGGTTGAAGATTATGAAATTACTGTTATTCAGATTAACGATATCGGCGGATGTTTTTGCATTGGCGGTAGCTTCGTCATAGTCTGGCATGAGGAACGTGTCATTTGTCTGATAGCCATAAGTGCGCAGGTCCAAGAGGTCGCGTTCATTGAAATAGTGTCTAACATCGAGAAGTGCGGCAGCGGCCAAAATATCTGAGGTGGGTTTCAAGTTAATATCGATGTTGTGGCCCAGCATTGCTGTTGACGAGACGGTGGGTCGGGTGGCAAGAGTGTTTTTCCGCCCCCAGCCACTCGACAAGTAGCTAATAATCGATTTCCAAAGATTATTGTTGATAATTGTTTACTTCAGTTTTTATTTTGATTTTGATTTGTTCGCTATTATATTTTGGTTTTCATTGTATTATCTATGATGGCGATAATGGCAATTGTTTGTTTGTTGCTGTTGTTTTTGCTTCTCTCTTCTGATGGGAGTGGGTTTTTGTTGAGGTATATAAAGTTTTAGGAATATTTAAAAAGGAAGTCCGTGTTCTTGTTGTTTTTGTTGTCGTTATTTATCTATACATTAAATATATATTTACAATTGTTTTAGTTGTTGTGGTATATATGCTACACATACATAGATATAAATTGTATATATGTATGTCGTTTGTTTGTTTGTTGTTGTAGATATATCGAAATAACAGTCTACAGTAAGCGTTTTGTGATTATCGTTGTCATTAAAAATCTGCAAAGAGAAAGAGGAAGCAAAACAAGAAACGTTATTAAGGTTAAGAGCTGAAAATGTTGTTGTTGTTTTTGATGTTCGTTTTCTGGTGTTTTTGTTGACAAAATGATGATGGAAAACAACTTAAGGGCATTAAATGTCTGCGGTTACTGGGATTATTATTTTTTAACTGTGGGTATTTAGTTGCCATCACATTTCTTTCTTTAATGAACAACTAAGCTATAACCACAAGAAATGTAATTTAAAAACAAATGAAGAGAGTATACAAAGATGCCGTAATGGGAATGATATTATGATTTAATTAAAAGTACACAAATTGTTCGAGAATAGTGAAATTTATTGGTATTGTCAAGACCTCTGATGAGAATTATTATTTATTCGATACTTTTTGACCTAATGAAATATCCGTGATAATGCCCACCAGACTTAAATTCAAAGATCATTGTTCCTAAAAGCACCACTTCGCTTAAAATGGTCGCCTGTGTCTTCGCAAATTTGGTGATTTTCTGCTTAAGAATGAAGGCCGGTCATTTCGGAGTGTTCAATCGCAATTTTTGCCTGAAATCTTCAGAGAAATTCGAAAGCCGAACAACAGAAGACGAATCATTGTACATCATTACAATACGTGTTCTAGCACAGCCCAAAAGGAAATTGACGGGTTATCGCTGTACAGACCCAAAGAGTGGCCAACGTCAAAACTTTTAATAAACATTTTTATTATTAGAAATATTTAGAAGACAGTATCTGCGGATATATACGTCACTCCTACATACTACACAGGAGTCCACATCATCTGGCAGCCTGTATCAACAGATTCAGGGGTACGACCCATCCGTGATACCGATAACCTCCAGTCCGGGCTGGTATCCCAATACACTTTTTAGACTACATTGGTCTTAATTGAACAAACATTTGGAGATGACCATTCACATAAAATATAACTATAACTAAACCTGAACCGATTTCAACGAAATGTAGCACACATTATTCTATGTACAATTTCGCATAAGTAAAAAAATTTATATAGGGGATTTGATGCATCATTCACATCAAATCCAACTATAATATCTATATCTAAATCTGAACCAATTTTAATGGAAGCTATAAATAAATCTGACCCGATTTCAACAAAACTTAACACATGTCATTCTAGACTTAATTCAGTCCGCTGTACAAAATGTCGTATCAATCGAACATATCTTGGGAGCTATATCAAAATCTCAAAATGATTTGTATAAAGCATACGCCAATCTCGTTCTCAAAAATAAGCACGGGTCTATCTCGTTTCCTTTTGCTTTGTATATGCACAAAGTCATAATACATTGTGGTGTGAGTGGTATAATAATACAAGTACCGAAGTCCTTAATATCAAGTTTATTACCATTAATTACTCTTCATACACATAAGCACTATTTTCCGAAATCCACACTTTAGCAAAAACGTACAGGTTCCACATGTAATTCCATTTAGAACTTTTCGAACACCGTCACCTCCACTAAATTTGGTACCAAAAACCCTTTGGTCCTTCTTTCTAACTCTCTGTCAATGACCAACATTCTAAATTTTAGGTTTCCAGCTCTCTCCGTTATCCAAGTTTAGTGAATTTTCTATTCTATACTATTGGTACACATAAATTCGAGTTTCCAAAGTTGTCTCCATAGCTCAATAGTACACTTCAACAGTAATCTAAGTTCCAAATCTCAAGATTCAACCAAATCCATTTGCTTCAAATTTAGTACCATTTAGTAATTCTCATACTCATAGGTAAGAATTTCTAAAACTACATCAATCCATCAATCCTAATCTTACTTCCACCAAAGTCCAAATTGTTCCAAATTATTTTTAAGTCCAAATATTAGGATTCCCGCTCACACAAAACGAATTGTACCATATTTAGTACCAATTAGGTCTTCTCGTATCCATAAGTACGAAATTCCAATACTTCCTTAATCTTGCAATTTTAATTACAAATTTACGTTTACTATCTCTATCCGTTAACTCGAATCAAAATTGTACCAATTTTTTTACCATTTAGTACACATAATGACGAATTTTAAAAAATTACCGACATATCTCAATTCTGCACTCAAACTGTAATATTAATTCAAAATTTTAGAATACAGCCCTATCCGTTCACACATTTGTAAGATTTCCGGACCCATTTAGTACTTTTTGTTTCTATAATTAACAATTTCCTAAACTATGTCAATCTTACACTCCAACAGTAATTTTAATTAAAAAATTCGGGAGTCCAGCTCTATCCGTTCACACATAATCAAGTTGTACGAAATATAGTACTATTTAGTACACATAGGTACTATGCTTCCATATCTCAATTCTATATTCAAACATCAACCATTAGTCCAAATTATGGGTTTCCAGCTCTCTCCGTTCACCCAAATCCATCTAGTGCCGTTTATTACTTTTCGTACACATAAATACGAGTTTCCAAAGATGTCTCTATAGCTCAATCTTCAACAGAAATCTTAATTCCAAATTTCAGGTTTTCAGTTCTATCCTTTCAAGCAAAATCCAAATTGTACTAAATTTAGTACCATATAGTACCTTTCGTACCAATAAGTACGAATTTCATAATCTACCTCAGTCCTACATTCCAACAGTCATTTTAATTCCCAATTTGAAGACTTCAGCTCTGTCTGTTCACCTAAATCCAACTTCCACCAAATTTAGTACCATTTAGTACTTTTCGTACAAATAAGTACGATTTTTTAAAGCTAATTCCGATTATCAAGATTCCATCTCTACACACTCAACTGAATGTAAATAGTACGAAATTTAGTACCATTTTACACTTTTTATACACATAAGTACGAATGTACTTATTTCCGTACATCAACACTACTTCCCAACCAGTATTCCATTTCATATGTCAAGATTCATGCTATATATGTTCAATATATATACAACAGGAAGTAAATTCAGTAAAGTTTAGTACCTTTAGTACACTTATAGGTCGAATTTCCAAAAACCCTTTGCACATCATTCTAACTTTCCATCAGTGACCAACATTCCAAATTTCAGAATTCTAGCTCTTCCCGTTCGCTAATAAAAAGGGTACCATATTTGGTACATTTTAGTACTTTTCGTACCCTTCTACTTCCAACAAAACTTCCTGCATACCCCGATCCTACACCCCCATAATGACTGTACACTGTAGTATGAATTTCCAAAACTTCCTACTTAACCCAAACCCACTTCACAGAGATCCTAATTCCAAGTTTCAGAATTCCAACGCTATCGGTTCACTCACAATCCAAATTGTACCAAATTTAGCACACAGTAGTATGAATTTCCAAAACCTCCAACTTACCCTAACCCTACAACCCCACAGTGACCCTAAATCCAAGTTTCAGGATTACAACTCTATCGGTTCACTCACAATTCAAATTGTACCAAATTTAGTACACAGTAGTACGAATTTCCAAAACCTCCTACTTACCCCAATCCTACACCACCACAGTGATCCTAACACCAAGTTTCAGGATTCCAACTCTATCTGTTCGCCCACAATTAAAATTGTACCACATTTAGTACACAGTAGTACCAATTTCCAAAACATCCTACATACCCCAATCCTACACCCCCACAATGATCCTAAATCCAAGTTTTAGGATTCCAACTCTATCGGTTCACCCTCAATTCAAATTGTACCAAATTAAGTACATAGTAGTACCAATTTCCAAAACTTCCTACATACCCCAATCCTACACCCCCACAGTGATCCTAAATCCAAGTTTCAGGATTCCAACTCCATCGGTTTATCCCCAATTCAATTTGTACCAAATTTAGTACACTGTAGTACGAATTTCCAAAACTTCCTACAGACCCCAATCCTACACCCTCACAGTGATCCTAAATCCAAGTTTCAGGATTCCAACTCTATCGGTTCACCCCCAATTCTAATTGTACCAAATTTAGTACACAGTACTATGAATTTCCAAAACTTCCTACAGACCCCAATCCTACACCCCCACAGTGATCCTATATCCAAGTTTCAGGATTCCAACTCTATCGGTTCACCCTCAATTCAAATTGTACCAAATTTAGTACATAGTAGTACCAATTTCCAAAACTTCCTACATACCCCAATTCTACACCCCCACAGTGATCCTAAATCCAAGTTTCAGGATTCCAACTCTATCGGTTCATCCACAATTCAATTTGTACCAAATTTAGTACACTGTAGTACGTTCATCCACAATTCATTTGTACCAAATTTATTAAACTGTAGTACGAATTTCCAAAACTTCCTACATACCCCAATTCTACACCCCCACAGTGATCCTAAATCAAAGTTTCAAGATTCCAACTCTATCGATTCATCCACAATTCAATTTGTACCAAATTTAGTACACTGTAGTACGAATTTCCAAAACTTCCTACAGACCCCAATCCTACACCCTCACAGTGATCCTAAATCCAAGTTTCTGGATTCCAACTCTATCGGTTCACCTACAGTTCAAATTGTACGATATTTAGTACACAGTAGTACGAATTTCGAAAACTTCTTACTTACCCTAAAC